GCCCCTCTGCACCACAAGGCACACATTAGATAGTAGTTGGGTGTCCAAATTATGTAAGAACAGCACGTTGTTAACTTTATGTTAGGATGAGAGCTAGAAGTCAATCCATGCCTTTGTTACATCGAACTTCAACTCCCAAGATCAGTTCCGAATATTTCTGCCTTCCAACAGCTACTTATTTCACTGTAAATTTGTGACAAGAATTTGGAATATGTAAAAATAAAACCGCCTATCTGATAATTTTGTTTATTTCATCACCTATTTGCTGAGTAAAGAATCGAATTTTTGAGGAGAAGTTTAAACGAATTTCCTCTGTGAGTGAACGGATAAAACCCTCAGCAACAAGCTGTACGTAATTGATCCAGTAGCTCGCGTAACTAACCAAAATTAAACTCTACTTAAATGGCTGATTGCAGGTGTTACAGCAGAAGAAAGAAAGACGTTTAAATCCATCATCCCTCGCTGTCCTCTATTTTCACAGAGCTCTCTGAATATATTAATTTCTACAGCGCATGCAAGAACACATGCCTTGTAACTTTACGTACCCAGCGCCATGTATGACGATGCATTTTCCCGCGGGGATTCTTTTCACCAGCTCGGCTGCAGCTAAGATTGCCTCGCGTTTAACTGTTTCAAAAACATTTTTTTGCGTAACTGCAGATCCTCCAAGTTTTATGATGACTTCTACACCGCATTTGTCCGCCATAGGAATGAGCAAAATAACTGATTACGACAGGCGTCTTAGGTGTTCTCTCCAGTCCATCGCTTTCAGAAAGTTGGTACCAGCCCACTAAAGTTCCTCGGCCAAAAGTAAGAAATGATTTGAAAAAGAAGTAAAGTATTCAACAAGAAATAAACAAAATGAAATAAAACAAATGAGAGAAAAAGAATAATAATAAAAATAGATAAAAAATATGATTACAAAAACCTAATCGAACTTAAACATAATTAAAAATTTCAAAAAATATTTACTTTCTAACGATTTGCGTTGAGCTTAATTTATTAGTGTCTGTACTTATCTCAAAACAAAAAGCAACAATATCTTAAATCTCCGATTTACAATGTAACTATACGAGTTATTTCCCTGTTTTATGAGCAATGCATGATATACATAAGAGTTCAAGATGTACTTAAAATTAGTGAGTATCATTCGCTGGAGAGACACCTAGTTCAATTTGTCAGATGATATCAAATGTTTTTCAAAAGAAGTCAATCGGAATTTGCCTAATGCAATAAACGCTACATTTACGAGAACCAAGAGACATATGTGGTCTGTGGTTACAGAATTTCAAAGCCTTATCTTTCTTACCACGCACCGCGACTCTTAGAAAGGCAGATGTTCTTGCGCCAAATCGACCACACCACTTTTCCAATATTGACTTTGATTCTTTTCAATATTTAATTGCACGTGCTTGGTACTGAGCCAAAAGAAATGGATTTTGACCAAAGCAACATGTATCACAAAGAAGGCAGCAGAATTCTCCCACGGAGAAAATCCAAAAGAATAGTAGGCATCAGGCAACCGGCCACGGGACACATTAACAAAGAGCAACTGTCTCAGCTAAAAGAGGCATTCAATCTCATCGACCAAGATCGTGACGGCGTTATAAGCAAAGATGATCTACAGAAGATCTTAATTTCTCTTGGGCAGAAACCGACAGACAAGGAAGTCAGGGAGATGCTGAACGAGGTACAAGGAAATGTGGATTTTGCAAGATTTCTGTCCATGTTTGCTTCTAAGATGGGTTCTGCAGACCCCGAAGATCTGATCCGAAATGCCTTCACGTGCTTTGACGACGACTGCGATGGAGTCATAAATTTGGACGAGTTTAAGGAACTCTTGATGACGATGGGTCTGAGGCTTACAGAGCAACAGGTATCAAGGCCATTTCGTAAATTTGATCAGTGAATGAAATTAATGCTTTCGCTCAAATTAATGGGGCCTGTATGGGTTTTTTTATTTATGTACTTTGCCCGACCCCTCAACTGAATTCAGCAGACTCGTTCAGCGTCGAAAACATAGTGAGAGAAAAAGTCTAGATACATTTTGAAACTCGATCAACCCAATTCACGAAATGTTCTTGTTTCAGGTGAATCACATTCTCCAGATTGAAAAGAAAAAAAAAAACCCTACTTCTAGGTATACTGTCAAGTGCTATGGGGCTAAATAATATTTCAGAAGAAATATTATAGCGAATGATGTATCCATAAATGAAAGAAGCGGTAAATTTTTAAAACTGGCCTTCCCCTAACCTAGTTCAGATCATTTTTCTATCATTTTTGCCTCATTTTCTTTCCAATCTTTGTAGGTTGATGAAGTTTTCCTTCAAGGAGCTCTGACTGATGACGACGGGCGATTCAACTGCGAAGACATCGTGCGATTGTTAAAATACGGAGAGGGCTTAAGTGAGAAGGGGAACAACGATGTTTCCTTCTGAACATGTGCATGGCAATGTGTGTTCTACGATATGTCCAACTGAATCGTTTCCAAGAAACGCATACGACCTAAGGATGATCATAACATTAAAAGAAAAAACTTGGCGTTTTGCCTAAAAATCACTTCTCTTTTTATTCAATGACCTTAGAGATTTATTCAACCCTTCTAAGGCCCTATTTAGAATGTCTTGTGTACCCGCGACAACCCTTCCTCCTCGAGTCAACTTTACGGAGTGTTTACATTGTTTTGTGTTCCAGTCCCTTACCAGTCCCTCTCGTCCCAGTCCCTCCATAGTCACAAGCAGGCGAGCCAAAGAATTCATATGAAAAAAAAGCTGTCCTCCCTAATACGGTTACCCTACCTGCCGAGGCGAGACAACTCGTCCACCCTAGTGGTCTCTCCCTCGAGACGAGTTTGCCATTTTCAAATAAACACTTGGTTAAATTTTTCAAAAAATTAGTGAAAAGTTAGCTCGGCCACGATGAATCTGGGGGAGGCTGGTCTCAGATACCTAAGACCAAAATTTCTTTTCAGAATAATTTCTAGTACTTAGTCACCTTTATGTGTTATGTACTAATATCACCATCAGGAGTAAAGATCTCATCGCTTATCATTAATCATGAACTACATCTCACCTAGAAATCTTGCGTCAGTTTGACTCATTTTTGCAAGACTGTGGCTAGGCCCTCATTGTAAGCGCCTGGGTTCGAGCGTTTCTTCGCCCGCGAGAGGCCTGGAAGAGGACTAGACTAGGACTGGAACTAGTCCCCAGACTCCTAACTGAAACAAACGGTTTCCATACCGTTGGTTGGCCTTTCACGCTTTATTTAGGAGTAGCTCTATTTCTTAATAAAAAAAAAAAAAATTAAATCAGACCAACCCTCAGTGCAAAAGAACATGTGAAAACACGACTTCAACAATCTCTTCTCTCGGAAGGATTCTTCCTAAAGGAACATTCACTGGCTGCGAGAGGCTCGGGATCTAACGAGAAATATCTTTTTTACATCGCTCGCAGCGCCCGTAGGCAAGATGAAGGGAATCCTGTGTTCTGATTGGCTACCCGAGCGGGCAAGATGGGCCCACTTTGCCCGCCCGGGATTGCTCGTATTGATCCCGCGCATGAAAAAGATAGAATTAAAACTACGTTTGTAATTCTTGGACAATTTCGGCGATGGAAACGCAAAAAGTAGCTGAAGATAGTCAAAACAAAGAAAACAGAAACGACTCTCGTGAGTTTGTTGTGCTACAAACACAGTTGGCTTTCTTTCCAAGCTCTCGAAGTTATTCCTAATTTTTATTAAAGCGAAATCTTTTTGGGATATAATAAATCCTTTATTAACCACGCTTGTTCGGTTAAGATGGCTGGATATTACTGAGGCCTCGTTCTTTATCTCTTTATATTTTATGGACTTCGACTTCGTCTCGGTTCATAAAAATGCCAAAAAGGAACTCGGCCAATATCCAGCCATCTTGACCTCACGCTTGGTTAATAACCCATATTTATACTGTCAAACCCCATGCATAAGATTTTTTTACCTCTAAACTTCCCCTTACTCGTTGATGTGATTTGTAAGTTTCATTTCATTTGAGATTTTTCTTTGAACATCGCCCGCGGTTTTTATAATTATTTGATTACGTGCACAGAATTGCAGCAGTAATTAGCGAAAGCAACCAAGTCACGTAATTTCCTTGTATCGCTTAATCCTATGCGCAGCGGCCGACCATTCGCCACGAAGTGGGAAAAATTGTTAAAGAAAAGAAGTCCACTCAGATCTGGCTTAACGAAACAATGAGTTTGATCACAATGCTTCCCTTTTATTCCCAAGAATGAAAGGTAAGTTTGTTTTAGTCCTTTCATATCAAATCCTCTCTCGTTTCCGTTTCTTCTGCACGAGGTCAGTACAACATGGGAGCTCGTTGACCAATACGAATGGAATTAGACTTGCTAATCCGGTATATACTCCTCCGACTCAGGTGAACAAACAAAGCAATGAAACCATTGTCGATCTCTAACTCAGTCGAGAATATGCTGAGTTTTGGTTTTTCACGGGCTTGGCTAAGACTGTTTTTGTTTTTTTCGTTAAGCTTATTATTTGGCCTACTTTTTGTTTTGCAAACTGAATTTTTCTCAAAAAAATACATAAAAGCTAGTTACGAATTCGAAAAAACTCCAACCGGTGTTGTTAATCTGCGCAATGTAAAGCAAAAGGTCGCTACGAAAGGCAGTCAACATAAAAAGATGTACAAACCTTTAAGCGATATAGAAGTAGGACCAGCTGGATTACCTGCAAAGCTCCAATTCCGCCGGAAATTAGATGAATCTGGTCATGTGGCGAGAGGTACAAGAAAGGAACATCAAGATTCGACAACTGGGAAACCAGGAATCGTTTATCCTAACACTAAAACTGCGAATTCAAACCCAGGTAAGTTGAAACACCGACTCAGAATTCAAACGGAAAGCACATCGACTTTGTCAAGTGTCACCACCGTGAAGGTTCAAGCGACGACGGAGAGGCCATCATCGAAAAAATACCCTTCATCGATAGAAAGGTTAAATTTACCCTCGCAACAAGAAAAAACCCATGGCCATGTCTATGGCGAACAAGGATGTCCCGATAACCCTTGGCGGAATGCCGGCTTGACGGAGCTTTTACAAAAGTGGATTAACATTTGCGAACAATACAACATCGAATACATTTTGTACGGAGGCAGCCTGTTGGGGGCTATGCGAAATAACGACATAATCCCGTATGATTCTGACATAGACGTCTTGATTGATATCAATTACTTTACGACAATGAGAAGGCTGGCGGAGAGACGGCGCTTTTTACGATCAGATGGAAAGATCCATTTGGTTTTGCAACCAGAATTCACCATGAACATTCCGGTAGAAAAGAGGAAACGTTATGACTGTCAAGGCAAAGTAAGTCATCATTAGATGCCTTTTTAAACGCAGTTAATATCTATTCATTCAATTATTTATTCTTTTTAATTTGATAAGTCTGACTTATGAGCTATGTAGCAATCCCTTATTCTTCGATGTTTCGACTCTTGAAAGATGTTGGCATAGCACATTGTTTGTTTCAAGCAGTCAGATTTTAAAACTTTGTTAAGACGCTAAGAAATTTTGAGAAGAACTTGCGTGATTTTCCTTTACTCTTGTCCTCCATATATACATTCCCCTGATCGACCCCATCAAAAGGACTGCGTGGAGCACAATACCGAAGGACGAATAATTCCAACTTGGCAATGCCTGATTCTATCAGTTAGTTTGTCAAAAGAGATGTATTTGCGTAGTAATTTTATGTTAAGAGACAAAATTGAAATCTAGCAAGAAGTTTCATTATGTGTAATTAAGTGTTAAGAAAATGAATGGAAAAGATATATCAGCAAAAGCCATTCAGTTAAAAAATAAGCAATTGATAGTTTTCTATTTCAGTGGCGGTCTTACTTTGCAAGTAGAGTAACTGTTATCTTTTCCTTTTGAGAGAAATTAGTTCATCTTCCTTAAATTTTATTTTGACACCTTCAACACCTCTTTCTTTAAGGACCTTGAGGGTAAACGATTTGTACTTTTCATCTTCCGCACTGAATTTTAAGTTAGTTAACTTTTTCTTTGGGGGGCGGTACTTGCGTCTGAATTTTTCTGTTTACTCTGTTGTTATGTAACAGCCCTCTAATGCTATTTTCCCTTGAAATATCTTTCCAAGTATGGTTCTAATTCAGCCAGTAAGTTCATTATAATTTTCATATTATCAATTTTGTTTCTGTTTCTGCCGATCTTAACTGCAAAAGTATGAAATTTTAGGTAGGAAGTCATTTTGTAAAGCGTAAACAACAGTCGAAGGCGCATACTTAGTATACTTAGTGCTGTTGCACGTAACTTAACGTGATTTGCTGGTTGAGATAGAACTATGACGATGCAGTGATTGAAAGCCTAATAGTGTCACCTTTAGTGTCTCCTTTATAAGCTGGTGAACAGCATTTTCAATCGGAATAGAACTGAATTGAATTGAGTAGAGTTGAGAGTTGAGATCTGAGTTACTCGTTAGCAGTAACTTGTAATAGACAAACCAAAGCTAGGAATAAAGACGTATCACTGAGTGTTAGAAAAGTGAAGCATCTAACAAGTTCATCAGTAGAAAAACAAAAACATTGCGAATGTTTTGTCTTCCCATTGCAGGTGACGTCAAAGCTTATGGACGAATGCTCTTTCCAAGAGCCACTTGGAAGACTCTTCAAGGGAAACTTGCACATTGATATTTATCACTTTTACGATAGAGTGCACTTTGTGGACGATCCAAGCGACGATAAACTCAAGGAGTATCCTAAGAAAGATTTTTATCCCTTTAAGCCGTGTAACTTCATGGGGTTTGAAGCGTCATGTCCAAGCAACCCTTGGGAAATTTCACGAATCTACTTCAATACCGACGATTTCCTTGAGCCAGTTTACAAATGCAAGAACGGAACTTGGGTCAATAAGAACGGTAGAACTACCAGATAGTCAGCTTGATCTCAGGGGAGCGGCAAGACCTTCCCCCCCCTTATTTTAGGTAAAAAACAAACGCAGAGGGAAGAAACGCCGGCAGGTGAACACACACAAACAAACCGCCCCCCCCTCCCCCCCTCTTAGTTCAGGGTCTGGATCCGCCATGGATCTTAGTACAATACAGCCAAAAGGGCTTTTCTAAAACTTTGTTGTGAGATATTCCCCTGAAAAAAAAAATGTGAATAAGAAATAAAAACTAACTAATGTTTTAACATGCCGTTAGCCACGTTTTTATTCGAGGGGTTGCTTGTAGGAAAGGGAACACTCTGAGCGTAGAAATTAATATAAGGTCACACCCACTTTCGTTTCACGTTGACTCCGAAGAGAGACTGGTATCTAATTTCTTCTCGTTATGTCGCGGTCACGAGAATTTATAAAGAAAATGATCCCCAACTAAAGAAACATAAAGAGCAACGTGTGATTTTCTCCATATCTACACCTGAAACAACTTTCGTTTCTTTGGTGATCACATGCAGTTCAATTTCGATTCAAAAAGCCTTAAAAACGATCGAAGAGTGAACTGGACAACGCTAACGAGGTATTATGTTGGCGGAAGCCATAGACTCGTCAATGATAGAAGAATTATCGAATGGTCTTTGCGAGCACTCGCGAGCATGCGAACAGTGTATTTATTTTTGCGAGCACGAGCAGTTGTCAAATTTTTCCAGATGGCGAGCAGCGAGCACTCTAGTAAAATACAGATGGCGAGCAGCGAGCACTTCGAGTACTTCTTAATTTTTCCGCTAGCCGGAATCTCTCTTTTATTAGTAGGATACGTTGTTTAGCGCCAACTAATAGCTAATAATCTGGCTGACGCCTCCAAAACAGAACAAAAGACGCAAAGCTTGGGTGGTTCAACCATTCCCAGCATGCATCTTACAGCCAAGTGTGCCCTGCTTGATGCCAAATAACGTCACGTAGCTTCGCGTGAGTCAGTCAGGGTGGATGCTCAAGAACTTCAAGAGGAAAGAGCTCTCAAGGAGATGTACCAGATCCAAAGCCCGCAATCTAAAGTTTTCCATCTCTTTCTAACCCGACGTCAAAATGGAAGGTATGTTTCTTTTGGTTACATAGTTCTTATGAAATGTAATTTACGTGATATTCGGTCTAACAAGCATTTTGCGCTTCGGTGTCGATGATCGGCAAACTGGTTTCCCACTAATTGACTGAAAAAAACTTCAACACTATGAAGATTTGTTTATTTGCAGGCTTCTAGAATCTAACCAATTACAGCCGTACAGATCTGACAAGCTGTAGTAGTAGCTCTGAATGTCAAATAGTACTGGTAATAGTGGTATTTCTCTAGATTACTTTCTACCGAAAGTAATTCTTCTTTCGAGAAGAAGAATTACATTTTGTGTTTCCGCGCGACATGGAGACAGTTTCTAGACATGTCTACTCGTTTGGCCAGGCCTTTATTTTTTTTTTATCAAAATAATTAAAGCAACATTCCATTTAAGAATTTCCTTGAGCCGGTGAAGCCCAAATGACCGAGGGTTGTTATTAATGTTGTTTTGTTTAATCGGGTTTCATATGCCACCGTTTGGCATCAGATTATAATAGTTATTAGTATAATTTCAGAGCTGAGCAAAGAGTTTCCAGCAATCTGATTGGTCGAGCGGTTCCTTATATGACGCTATATAAACCCCTCCACGCCGTTTATATAAAATGTTAAAATAAAATGTTAATAAATGTTACTAAAATGTTATGATTTTAGAAATTTCTCTGTTGTTCAGCTCTGAAATTATACTAAAACAATTATTACTAGTGGCCAGGAAGCTTCCAAGGTTGAAAAAACCACTACAGAATACGATCCGAGTACACTGTTTCAAAATATTTTGACTCCTTCCATTTTATTTTCCCATTGCCCACTGGAGAAACCATCATATCTACAAGCCCTGATAATTTGTTCAAATAAATGTAAATTTAGATCATCAGAGGTTCGCAAGTAAAGTTGTCTCCGTAGGAGATTATATCACCTCCCGTCATGTCGAGCTTCCTCTTAACAAAATCAGAATTTCCGGAAAAAAGATTGTGTTACAGTCACGTTTTCTTGTTCAAGCGAAAGAAGGTTTAAGTCATTGGGTAAAATACCCGGGAAACTGGTCAAAGAAGCAACAATTGTAAAACTAGCTTCAAGCAATGAAAGCGAATCTACTGAGGGAAAAAGCAGAATTAGCTGGTATTCACAGAAATTAAATCTTTTGGGTACTCCAAAATAGTTACTGAAGCCAGAGGTAAGGATGTTTCAACCTTTTTGTTTTAACCATATGATAACTGATTTATCGTTTATATACGGATAAAAACGAAATTTCGAGCAATCGAGCTCATGTTAACGAGAATGCGAGCATGCGAACAGTTGCAAAAATTTTTCGAGCACGAGGAAGCGAGCACCCGTGTGATTTTTGCAAGCAATTCGAGCAAAAGGCCAAATTTTGCGAGCACTTTTAAATTGCATGGTACCATTCGATACCCCTGGTATCCAGTGCGATCGACGAACATCGATCAGTCGGGTAAATATTTGACTCGAAACTTAAAATAATTTAAACAGCTGAAATATTTTTTAACCTCTAAACTAAGCCTTATTCGCTGATGTAATTTAAATTTTATTTTTAATTTGAGATTTTTGTTTGAACTTCACCCGCGGTTTTTTCATAATTATTTGATTACATGCACAGACTCACAGCAGTAATTAATTCCTTTGTAACCACCCACTCAATCCTATTGTTGACGGCCGACCATTTGCCACGTTGAGGAATAAATTGGCTCAACGAAACAATAAGTTTGATGATCATGTTTCCCTTTCGCCAAGAATGAAAGGTAAGCTTGTTTCGGTCCTTTCATATTTAATACTCTTCCGTTTCTAGTGGGTTAATTTTATTCTGCACTAGATATACAACATGGGAATTATTTAATCACGCATTTCAATTCAGCGTGTCAGCGGTTCGTTGAGACTCAGCCGGGGGCTATACTTCGGAATATATGGCCACATTTAACCATCCATCAAACAAGCCGTCTTGTTTAGCTCGCTTGATACTTTGTGAACGCTACCGAGTCGAATGAGCCGCAAACTTAACGCGTCTATTGATTATTCAAACAACAAACATATGAAATACATATATATGAACTGCGGTTATGAAACGTATATGTGCACGATCCTTCGCAGTAAAGCACTATTTAAGCAATAGTGAAAATCAGACCTGAAAAAAATTCAGGCCTGTACGGGATTCGAACCACTGACCTCTGCGATACTAGTGCAGCGCTCTACCAATTGAGCTAACAAGCCAACTGGGAGCAGGCCATCAAATTAATTCGACATAAACCCGTACAAAATCCCGTACAGGCCTGAATTTTTTTCAGGTCTGATTTTCACTATTGCTTAAATAGTGCTTTACTGCGAAGGATCGTGCACATATACGTTTCATAACCGCAGTTCATATATATGTATTTCAAATGTTTGTTGTTTGATTTATCATCTTACGGGTTTATGTCGAATTAATTTGATGGCCTGCTCCCAGTTGGCTTGTTAGCTCAATTGGTAGAGCGCTGCACTAGTATCGCAGAGGTCAGTGGTTCGAATCCCGTACAGGCCTGAATTTTTTTCAGGTCTGATTTTCACTATTGCTTAAATAGTGCTTTACTGCGAAGGATCGTGCACATATACCTATTGATTATTGCCCGTCAATTTTCTGTTATTCACTGCTGAGCCAAAAGAGTCCCTAAATATACGCTCCTTCAAAAGTGGCTCAATATTGTGTAGTTGCTTTGAGTCAGGTTCGTCTCATGACAAGAATCACGTTTGTTTTTCGTGCCTTGATCTCCAGAGGACAATCCACCACTTCTCTCTCGTCGGTAAATAGCTCTAAGGTCTGGATCCACTATATTGGTTGTCGTGTCGTGCCCTAGAATTACCCTAAACTCAAATCAAACTTAAAACATCGAACACAAACACATTCTTGTTTAGTATGCCGTTTAATCACCACATGTATATTTGTATTTCAAAATCCTGAATAAATTATTTGTCGAATAGGTCGTCATATCGAATGATAAACTAAATACGTCAGCGTTAGACGCTAACTTCGTCGATTATTTTGCGATTTATGACGTGCACGTTGGTTAAGAAATGGTTTGTGTGTACTTATTGTTTCATCGCTAATAGGAAATCACAGAGAAGATGGCCTTTAAGAAAGTTCTCGTTGAGTTTGAGTTGAGTTGAGTTAAATTATAATTACTGTACCTGTTTGAGTTGAGTTAAATTATAATTTTCTGTACCTCCCTCTTTAAGAAGAAAGTGGGGTTGCGTGACATCACTCTTCATATCAATAGTTTACCTGATGAAATATGAACCTGTAACCAGCAAGGGCGTAGACGGCTTTTCGACTTGTCGTAAGTCCATTTTTTGTTTCAACATTAGAAGAAGTCACATTATAAACGTCAAGAGGGTGGAAAAATCTGTAGGCCTACGGGTTCAAGCGTAAGGGCCTACAGGTCTACGGCTCACGGGCCCGCTGGCTTTTCATGGGGCCCAGGGCCCACGGACTTTCGGTTCGCCACTGACATGTGAAGAAGTCCGTCGTAGGAGAGGAGTGCTATGGTGTAGCACTGTAAGAGGCTATTGTTAAAGAATTATGAGAACAAAGTTTCAAACATCCTTGCAAATCATGGAACACATCGAAGAAGAACAGTTCATGGAAAAGCAACAGTTTTCTTTAAGTTGCTAGGATATTATTTATTCAGTGAAAAATTTCGATTAAATTCTGGCTTATTTCTCGATAGTATGTGAACTCCGTGAACGTGTCGATACGTAAGCAACCGAGGAATTTTTTCACGGTTTACACACGTGGAAGGTTGGGAGAATTCTAGGCAGAATTCGATAAAGCTATGCAAATCCCGAGATCTAACGTCACAACCGGATTTACAGCTTACTCCCATTGATAGATAGATAGATAGATAGATAGATAGATAGATAGATAGATAGATAGACAGATAGATAGAAACTTTAGTAGCCTTTCAAAGAACCTTCTAGTTTGGGAGATATCCCATACTAATGTGGGAACACAAATAAAATGGATAAACATTATTTACAAAAAATATTACCAACTTAAGCATAAAATTAAGTCATATCATGCATGAAAAAAATATGAAATGAATTAAGAATTACATAGAGCACAGCCCCTACAGCCATCGTCTAACAGAGAGCTGAGGTCACGCTTACGTATACTGGGAGCGAGACTGGTTAATATAAACCCTTCACACCCTAGCATCAGTATGCATATTCTCCTTAATGTTTTCTTTATATTTCCCAAGGAGCTGAGATAGAGAATTTGAGTAAAAATCAAGAGCTCCATTAGTTCTTGATCATTTCCTTTATTGCTGTGACAGTTATGTGTAATTCAGGGACGATATTATTGTAAGTACGGAGAAACTAGAAGCAGGTCACCCTTTGGGGTCGAAGCTGATGTGACGTTAGTTGTCAACACTGAGTGCTTGAAGATCTACATATGGGATGGCTATTTATACTTACACCTGAAGATATTTTACTAATTATTGTCTGTTTTCTTTCTTAACTTAGAAACCTTTACATGAACGCTTTTACCGTCCTTATATTGGACCACAGAAATCATTACTGAAATCCTTAGGAATCTGAACATTGGTAACAGATGGCAGCTTTCAGTGCTTTTCAGGCTTGGAAATTTTACTTCCTCTCAACGTTTGTCGTGGTTGGAATTTTAAGCCTCTTTTACATTTTCCAACTTGAATTAGCTGATTCTAGTGTCTTTAAGCTGTTGACTCATAGGTTTCGAATGAGAAACGTACTTAAGAATGAAAAGAGCACAAACGTAATACTAAATGAAATTAGTAAAAAGATTACAAACCACAGTTCCACACCCGCTTATAGTACGACCACGCGTGCACCAGTTGAAGAGGAAAAAAGTATTGGTGTTCAAAATGTAGAGATCACAAGCCCAGGATTCATTCCTTGCAAAGGCAATGGAACATGGGAAGTATACGGGGACTCAGATTGTTCGGATAATTCAAGGCGCGACAATTTGTGCCAGCTTCTTCGTGCCTGGACTATTGCAGCCAAGAAACACAACATCATTTACACTATAGGTGCAGGGAGTCTTGTTGGAATGCTACGGAATAATGATTTAATTCCCTGGGATACAGACATCGACATATATCTCCACGTGAAATATTTCCCGCTTTTGCAAAAATGGGAGAGAGAGAAAATGTTTACAACGCTTCAGGAATCAATCTATCTGGCGACTCAGCCAGGACCAGTGAATAATATTCCCGAGGAAAAGAGAACGCGTCACAACTGTAACGGAAAGGTAAGCTTGCTGGGCGGTCGCATTTGAGCGCTTTCAAAGAGACTACAATCTAATCTCACTCCTTGTTGCACATGCGCAGATGAATATCATGACAACAGGGTCAGTATTTCAGTTTCAAATCATCTGTTCTTGTGTATACTCGACCTTCCTGTGGACTCTCTCTGGAATCCTAAGCGCCCACCATTTTTCCCCAAAGCGAGGCGTTTACGAGTTGTGTGTGGGACCTGTCACGAAATATGTTTCGGCCCAGATCCTTCCCAAACCTCTCTCAAGCTCGCTTCGTTCGCAGGGTGTTTGTTGTGATAATCTGGGTAGTGTGAAGTTAACCTTCTCCTTAGACAAATAGCCAACAGTCTCCCATGTTAGAAAACTTAGGCAAGTGTGGGCTCTTGCCATATCTTTAACCGGAAGCTGCTCGGTCATAAGCTTCTGATTTAGCATCGAGCTACTTTCTATCAGTTTTCAGCTTAAAGTTGGCTGATTGGCAGTCGCAGTCGCAGTAGCTGTCGATTTTGATTAAAACATTAAAGAGTACTAACATATTAGATTCTTGGAGCCTTTCCCTTATCGAGCTAGCCCTGAGTCTAGGCCCAAACCCCCCTCTAATTAAACGAACGCAGAATAGTAGGCTTATAATGTGGCATTTGTTCAGGCAGCTTTTCACTCAGCGTACATACGAAAGCGTTGACAACTTTATTATTCTCTTCTCATCAGGTGACGTCACATTACTCAGACATGTGCTCCTTCCTGGAGCCAATGGCGAGGTTGATCAGAGGAAATTGCTTTATTGACTTTTTCCATTATGAAGAAAAAGGCGACAAGGTTGTAGAACATGGTGAAAATCTTGCTGTTAACATGCAAAAATATACAGATTTCTATCCATTTAGGCCATGTATTTTCATGGGTTTTTCAGTTTCATGTCCAAACAGACCTTTAGAAGTTTTACGAGTTACCTACAGTAGTACGTCTGACATGAAGAAACCGCCCAAAGTTTGTAAGAACGGTCAATGGGTTCATAATGGATGAAAGCTAACAAACTAATTATAATCCGCGCGAGAGACCGTATTCATATTAGTGGGTGTAATTTTAAAGAGGTCGACATGTAATCTGTGCAGAGGAATATCGATCGAGTGCTGTATGGTTCATGTTCAATAGGCCATTTTACAGTTGTGTACTTAGTCGCCAAGCCTTTGATTTGGAGTGAGGCTGTAGGTGACCAGTATCTAGTTAGTATGATAACAAAGTAAATGACATTTGAAAGGCAGCAAGGTCACCCTTAGCCTCACTCCTGTTGAAAGGCTTGGCAACCAAGCAGGCAACTGTAAAATGGACTATTGGAAGCAGGACTCTGTTCAAATGGGTTAGCATGTTCCAGGAAGTCTGTGTATGGCGACAAGTGTATAAAGCGGGGCTCACAATGATTGAGAAGGAGTGGCGACTCTTCTTAAAAACCCCGCGGATTTTCTCTCACCCGTTCTTTCGTTTGTATCTTCTAACTGAGGGCCAGCCGCAGACTATTAAAGTTTTGTATTTTTGTTTACCGTGGGGAAGTCAAAAATTGAGTGGTTAGGGTGAAATTTCAATACTGACTCTTGCCTCGACAGAATAGGATCTAAGAACAATTGGAGAGGGATAACAAATTGTGAAGCATTTATAGAGTCCTTTTACTTCCAGGACTTTCAATAAGCTGGCCTGAGTTGAGATCAATTCATGAGCTTGTGAAAACGTTCTCTGCACCACCTCTGCAATTTCTTTTCATGATTTTTCCAAATATGTTCAAGCAGATTTTCCGAGAGTTCGGTATACTAGCGCATTTCACCATTTTCGATATTTTGTGGAAGGCTAAGTGATGTCCAGTAAATAAAAATTTCAGAGACTTTAATTGGTTTTCGTCAAGGTAGCATATCTTCGATCAAATGCAACACCGAATGCCCATGATTTTGTGATTTCGATTATTTTCCATCATTAAATTTTATACAAGACTATGAATGATATTCCTCCTTTAAGAATCAAAATAAAGACCAAAGATTTCAAAAAGAAAAGGAAACGTTTCTTCGTAAGTGCTCACTCAAAGCACTCTGAGATTTATCTATCTAGTTTTATGTGTAGAAATTACCAAAATTGTCTTCTTCCCGCCATCATAGATAGATACAAATGCAAAAGCTGACCAAAAACTCGAAATTTCTTACTGACAAACATATTATACGCAATGTATTCAGTACTTTGACGAATCCTTAATTTCAAACTAACTCCATCCCGGTCTTATAACAATCATTTGTTAAACTATCATCCCACGGAGAAGAACCCACGATATCCTTTACTAAATTATCGCTAAGCATTAGGATATACCTAGCAAAGTAAAAGAGAAAGTGTTTTAACTAACATGTATATTGCTGATACTTATCTAAGTATAACAATAAACTTCGCTGTTGGTTACGATCTTTATTCCGGTAATTTCGTGTAAAGGTAAACTTTCCAAATTATAAAGAATTTTTCTCCCTTTGCTAAGCAAACTCATTTTCATCGTTAATACGTATTTATTGTGCAAGAGTAACTGCAATGTAAGCAGAATTTAAAGGGATTATCTACTTTTTCTGAATCACCAGAAAAATGGGTTTTTGGAGGCCTTTTATGTAAACACGTCTGCCAGCTGTTGTGTGCCCAGTAGTTTCGATATTTACAAATCAGTATAATGGCTTTGTAATAAAACTTTAGAAATTTAAATATCCCATGGGCAATGCATTATTTTAGCGATGATTAAACGACAACATTATCAATCGTTGGTTCTTACGAAGGGAAGCGAAAAATTCCATCTTTGTTCGTTCGACCGCGATATCACATACCTGAAATTTAGTTTTGGAGTTCTCTATATTTTCATTTTTAACAGTCATGACTTGGACTTTAGAAAACTAATTTGGCGTTGCCTTTTTTTTCGTCAATTTGAGTTACAATTTGCCTCTCTGATGACTATAGTTAGCAGGTGTACTATCAACAACTTGTAATGAATAAATTTCATGGTTGATCTGCGGGTGAAAATCAAGTCCCAGTTTTGTAGCTCAGTTCAGCAGAGCAGAACTTTTTCAGTTCAGCTTTTTTTCTGCAGTTTCCAAATCGCAGTCCTTCAGCAAGCATCATTTCTTTACTGGACGCGTACTTATGTACTGCACAGTAAACTCTCGAAAACCAAATGTTGTGAATCACCCCAAAAGGGTCTTCAATCACTAATACACGCTTAAATGCTGGCCCTGTTATCCTTTTAAAACTCGAAATCTCGGTCACCCACACCCATTCCTTTAGCTTTAACTGTTTTTAATATTACCTGAAAAACTGAGAACAAATAACATACAAAAATACCTTCTGTCTAGATGAGAAAGAAAGTAGAGAGTTTTTCAGTTTGTGCTTTGTAAAAGGAAGTTAAATTTTTTGAATGTCAAAATGTAAAGGGCAGAGGTTGCTTAAATGCTCTCCTGATTAGAGTCATGAACTACGATTTATCAAAATGGCCATTTTTATTCTATGAATGCCTTCTGAGAGGTTAACGTTGTTGGTAAGTTTGGCCGAAATGGTCATTGAGATTCGTGGTAAATCTTGTAGTAGATTGAGTTCGCTTTGTCTGACTAATTTTACTAAAATGGTGTCTGATCTTCTACACGAAAATCACGGAACCAAACGTGTCAAGTGGGTTTGGAGATAACTACATCGCTTTTTCCTGAAAAACGTCCGCCATGAAATTAGAAAGACAAATGTCGCCATCATTGTTTGGCACTGTTATTATCGCGCGGTAATGGCTCGCCAAATATTGAGGTTGCTTCACTCTAATCACGAAAATTTAATTTTAGGGACTGACAAATAATATTCTTTGTTATGCAAAAAAGTGCAGTGAGCATATCACACGTGCCCTGATAATCGAATGGTAAGTGATTCCCGGTTTTCCTCCAATCAAAATGGAGCCTGTCGTAGGAAAAGAGGGGGGGAGGGGGGAGGGGGGAGATCCTCCTATTATCTCATGAAAAGTTTCATCAGTTTATTCAGCTAGATTTTTCACTCAAAAGGAGAGGACGCGGTATGTTTTTAATCAAAACAACGAAAATTATCGCCCAGGATGATTTGGATTAAAAGCGACAATCTCTTACATCTCTCATTTTTCACGCTGCCATTCTACTTCTCGAGAGACCTATCGCATTTCGAACGTTCTGCTGATAAAAATCTTTCTTAGGGAAATTAAAATTTTTAGTGACTCAGTATAAATATCACTCACTTTCATGTGTTCGACGGAAGGGAACAGTTTGACCACCCTTGATGTTCGTCACTCCTTAGTAAAAAGAAAGGTAAGGTCAAAAAAGGCTGAGGCTTTTATCTCGTAAATCTGAAAAAAAAAAACAGATTTCAGATATCAATCGTATACTTGGACTGATTCCAAATCAGTGGCGTTTCATTCGCTACCTATCGTTTTCATGAAATAATGCTGGATCATCTGTGCACTATCGTACAATTTCGTGACAGTGCGGCAGTTTTTAAGGGAGGAATCCCCCGCAAGCCAAGGGCGAGTTCAGGCGGAGCCCTGTAATAAAGAAAATAATGTGAAAGAAAGCCATCAAAAGGGCGCCACCAAAGGACAATTTCTAGTCAGTTCGGACCTTAAACTTATAAATGGGAAGTTATCTCTCTCAAAAATTACAAAATCATCTCTTGTAAAATTTTCCTACGATCCGTTTTAAACTGATTTGCACGTAACAATGCGAGTTCTGTAAAAGAGTATATTCCGAATTAAATAAAGCCAGTAATGTGGCAACAGATAAGGCTGCCAGATGATATATTCGCCATTACACAACTTATCGACCTTTTCAGAGCAAGAGTGCTTTTGTTCGTGTTTCTTTCTAGGGAAAGGAGGACTAATCATCTTTGGAAATGACTGCGATATTGTGGTTGGCGTTTTTCAGTGAGTAGATCTTCGTTAAGAGACATAAAGCTATTAAGCTATGGTTGCAATCACACACGGCCTCATCTTACGCCACTGAAAACCGGTTACGGCTGCATGCCGTTTCAACTTTCTTCCTTCATTCGTCTCTTCCTTCTTTTGTTCCTTCAGCCTTTTCCGTTCTTTTCTTTTTCTTTTTTCCTTTCTCACTTAACCTTTTTCTATTTCCTTCTCTTGATGTCGCAAGGTATCATCCATGTAACTGCTGCTGGAAATATTTGTCGGATAGATTGCAAAGTTCAGTTTGTACCGCGGGGATGTTACAGAGATAGAGGGGTAAGACTTCATTCACTCTCATTTAAAAGAAAGCAAATATGATTGAAATATTTAAAAGGTGAGTTGAAAGTTGAAGTCAATCTGGCTCTTTAGAAAAAATAACGGGATGCAAAAAAATCACAAGAACATTCAATAGGTAAATTATTGATTTGAAACAATATCGTTTTATTATCATCTTTGTTTTATTCTTACGTTCTTCCACTTATATCCTACAAATCATCAAATTTGTACACTAGCACACTTGCTTTTCCTCAAGTGATTAAAACAAATACCTTGGTCACCTCGGTGCGCCGGTTGAACAGAGGCAAAAGCATTTGGAACACTTCTAAACGAAAGTCTCCTGACAAACTCCCTGAATTCAAAATTTCTAAACCAATTCAGAAGCCCTTCCGCCTTTCCACCTCGCTTCCTTCTCTTGAGTCCTGTTGTTCTCCTACCATGTGGTTGAAAATTAAACATTGAGTGAGGGGCGGGAAGGGAATGAGGCAAGTATACCAATGCAACTTGGAAAAAAGACACCCAGCGTTCAAAAACTTTTGTCACTAGGTGTAACTAAATAAGTAAATAAATAACTTAGCAATGGACATTCCACTGGGTGGCTCTTCTTGTCCACTGTTTCCAGATCGAACTGGAATTTGGAATGTTGGTTTTTGTGGAGGGAGGAAAACCAGAGGACCCGAACAAAAACCCTCGGAGCAAGGACGAGAACCAACAACAAACTCAACCCACATGTGACGCCAGGTTCGGGAATCGAATCCGGCCCCCAGCAGTGGGAGACGAGTGCTCTCGCCACTGCGCCATCCCTGCTCCCCTGTATGTGTAGTTTGATTTACAATTCACTGGTCAACTGACGATCAGTTGCTCAGTTTTCACGAGTTTACATTGAACCACATGAATTAATCGACGCAAAGCAAGATTTCTTTCAAATTTAATTAACAGGGAAAGTCACGAGCGCTGCCTCATTACATCTACAACGAGCGTGATCCTAGGGTCAAGAAAAATTATGGCGGCAGAAGGATTGATTGGCACAACTGGGATGAATATTATCCTGGCTTTGCGTGCCGATGTGCAGAGGTAGCTAAGGCTCAAGGATACGACCTTTTTGGTGTTCAGTTTTACGGTGAGGTTCACTGAACTTCTTTCACCTATGATTTAATTAAACGTATACCGTTAATTAATTATTAAGTTTATCATTTGTCATTATGTAGCACCTTGTGCGGAGAAACTGAAGAGGCTGGCTCTTTCAGTGAGTTCTATTTTTGAGCTCAATCCATATTTTTTGTTCTTAGGAGAATGTTGGGCTGGACATAGTAGACTTCAAAAATATGATAAGTATGGAAAAAATACCAAAGGATGTATTGAGGACTCTTTCTTGACATGCACTCCATATAGCCGTTACTGTGCGGGTAAACAGTGGCACAATATGGTGTATCAAATTGGTAAGTTTGGTTTTACTTCCTAATCATATCTTGGGAAGACAGGAGCCAGAGGGTTGTGACCCATGAACTCGATGGTGACCGAGCCTTACGGTAGACTCGAGCGAAGAGGATGGAGAAGAAGGGTTTAAATAAAAAAGAATCAGTAGAGTATGGCAGAAAAAGTTAAAGATTTATGTACTGTGGACTCTTCGCATTTACGCGTTTTCACTACCTGAATTATGTTTGATAAATTAAAAGGAAAATCCAACCCCAAAGAGGGGTGGGGTTATGGGTTCCTCAATGCCTCCCAGATCAACTCTCGGTTGATGTCACCTCATATATTTTGTGTTTGTTCCTGCTGGTATCATAGTGGATGCTACGTGCCCTAAAATCAACTTCGAAAGGGTTGGCTGCTTTCGAGATAAACACAAACCACCCAGACCACTACCAGACTATCTCTTCAACGACAGGGATCCCAGCATCGATAACTTCAGCGGAAAAAGAATTGATTGGCGAGCCTGGGATATCTATTTACCAGAGTTTGCCTGTAGATGTGCCGAGGCTGCGAAGAAAGCAAATCACACTTTCTTTGGAGTGCAGTTCTACGGTAAGTGAGAAAACCTTCCATTTAAGTTTTATTCACAACGTATACTGACTTTCACTCGCTTATTGGCGAGTGAAAGCTGCATAGGCTGCAGTTAAATTTGTCTTTGTACGAAAAAAAAAATAGCAGATAACTTCTATGACAAACTTAACCTGAAATCTTACGGTAGAGGGTTGATCACGTGTCTTAATGATTTATGTGTTCATTATTAGGTTTCACTCATTTGACTTCACGAATTAATCTCAGTATTCAAACTTTACTCGTCAGTGTGCTGTGAGATGCTATTACGTCTAAGGACTATAGTAACCTACTTAAATGCAATGTTAATCTCGGGATCCCCGTCCTTACAATTCATGAAATTTTAACCGAAATCTCAGTTAACTTAACATTCCCCTTTGTTTGTGCCATTTGTGTTAAATTCGTTTAGTTGTCTTTGTCTCAAAGGAGAATGCTGGAGTGGCAAGGACAGCCATCTGACATACGACATCGATGGCCCCAAACAAGGTGGTTGCATCAACCAGTGTTACGAACCCTGCGCCATAAACAACAAGTTCTGTGCCGGAAGAAACTTTGAAAACTTTGTGTACAGAATAGGTAAGAATTTAGAAAACAAAAAAAACAACATAATTTTACGCCCCATCATCATAAAGGAAATATGCCCATCTTCTACCTACCGCGGTGTGAAATCTCATAGGGTGACTAAACCCTCCGAAAATTATCCTCAAATGTGCGTTAAAATCGACTGCAAGAATTAAATTCTGGATAACCCCGCCGCACATACTCGACACATCTGAATAGTGGTAACGCGTAGTTCACAAACAGCTGATATTATATATTTGGCGCAAACTCAATTTTTGAATTAACTAAGACTTAAAACATTTTTTTCAATTTTCGCGCCAGTTTTTGCGGCATATGAAAACTAAACGTTAATTCACGTGCACCACTTTCTACCTGAAAGTGTTTGACAAAGATCAAACATCTGCGCATGTCACTGATTCACAGGGGTCAGGGGTGGGTAGGGATAAAAAGAGCTTTTGTGCAAATTACACTTTTCCCAGTACTTTTAAGAATTAGTTACAACCAATTTTTCACGCTTGTCATCAATTTTCCCTTTTCTTTGGCGAGGGATAAAAGTTCTTCCTCCTTGTTCGTTGGTAGCTTTATCTATTCAAACCTTGTTTTGTTGGTTCGATTGATTAAGTAATTTTTATCATGGCCTCTTTTCTTATCCACGAAAATAACGATTTACTTAATCTCTTTATCATCCTCTAGTGGGCGGCTCGTGTGAAGTAGATATCAGCCCTGTTGGTTGTTACAAAGAAGACGTTGCGACTCCCGCCTTGGGAGAAATCTTTCACAACGAGGCGGCACCAGATAAGCCAAACTTTGCTGGAACTATGATCCAGTCTGTTGACAATTATGAAGCTTACTTCCCAGATTTTCTTTGCAAATGCGCCAGGAAGGCAAGAGAAAACGGCTGGGAGTATTTTGGAGTCAGAGAACTAGGTAGGGAAACTGAAAACATCTCTTATGGTTTACTTGTTAGAGAGATATCGTTTTCGTGACTCGTCAATGCTGGCACTCATGTTTTCGAGGGATGTGATAAACGTCTTTGCTTAATTGTGAAGCGTGATGTTTTATCGTGAAGCCTGATGCTTAACCGTGAAGCGTAGTGCTTCATCGTGAAGCCCTGATGCTCAATCATGAAGCGGATACTTACTAATCGTGAACATAATACTTAAGCGTGATGTAAATCACGATGCGTGATGCTCAATTTTAAAGCGCGATCCTTAATCGCGAAGCGTGATGCTTAATCGTGAGTTTGATACTAAATCGTTGAGAGTGATATTAAATCACGAAGCCTGCTGAAACCTTTCAAGGTGTTAGAGCTAGTAACGATACCAATTGCAACGTTGAAATTCGCGTCAAGGGACTGAAAAGATAAGCTTAGTCTAGCCTAGCTAGGCTCTGGCTTGTTATGGTTATAACTTCGTTCTGATGGCCTGGGCTATAGTGATTATTGGTCAAGTTTTACAAACCTGAATTAAAATTCTCTGTTGTACACTGCATTGTTTGTATTTCTTTGTAGGACTGTGCGTACGAGGGTATTCCCCATCCGATTACGCCCAACACGGACCTTCCCAGCAATGTTTCGTGGGGAACAGTTCCATAGCTTGTCCAAACGGTTCCAAATTGTGCAGTGGCTTGAATGCAGAGGCCAACTACGTATATAAAGTAACCCTTCCAGGTAAATGCAAAGCGCCTTCGGAATCTCTCATCAATGTAGGATGTTAATCTGTTCCGAGTCGACTTCTACAAACTATTCAAATTTGAAATATGAAATATGAAATATATGAACTTCATATATTTCATTGTATCTCATTAATCACTTTCACGGGTTTATTACGAATCAACTTAACGACCTGCTCCCAGTTGGCTTGTTAGCTCAATTGGTAGAGCGCTGCACTAGTATCGCAGAGGTCAGTGGTTCGAGTCCCGTACAGGCCTGATTTTTTTCAGGTCTGATTTTCGCTATTGCTTAAATAGCGCTATCTACTGCGAGGATCGTGCATCATATGTATTCAAATTTTATCGACGAAAGTATTTATTAAGTTTCTCGGAGGTACAAAATTGCAATTTCGCTCTTTCACAATATGAGATGTCTGTCATGGAAATGGGCTCAAATATTCTAAATTACATTATTCCCGTTTTAGTTACTTTTAAAACAGACAATCTTGCCCAATTGTCTCAAGAAAATTTCGAAACTCTTGTTTTGACGATCATCATAGGCAGAGTTAAGGCCAATAAGATCACAGCGTTATTTTTGTAGATTTTTTACTTTTTTTTTCATGCTGTTTATTCTCCGCTACTACTGTAAATCTCTACATCTGAGTCTAATTTTGGTCGCTAATCTTTTAAGATTGTCCTATCTCACGCTGTCACGGCGGAAATGACTATCTAAACTAATAACTGACCAGTTGAAGAGTCACGGGGTGGGATTAGAGTACAAAAGAACATTTCCTCGAAAAAGGGGAAAATTCAGTGGTGCATTGAGCTTTCAAACTTTTACCTAACAGGAGTGAACCCAGTGGGAGACATGCCTCAAGATATTCCAGATGAACGTACTAAAGCAGACATTCCACCGGAGACCGTTATGCGAAGCCAAAGCCATCCTAAAGCAAAAGCTCGCTCATTCGGAAAAACACTCTTGTGAAGCCTCGACGTCTTGACACGTGAACCGAACTTATCCCAGCTCATCAATCGATTAAAACATCTCTGTCAAAAACAGAATTTTAGATGATGAATAGCTAGCCTGGTTTTACTGAACTTATAGCTGTTGTAAAGGATTTACGGGCAACAAGTTTAATTAATGTAAAAGATAAAGAATTAAGGGTGAATATTAAATGCATTCTTGAGCACTTGAGTACTCTAACTTTGTGGGAACAAACTGGTCTTTCAAACGGATTGTTTGAGCTATTTTTTGTAGCTTGGCGACTTTCGCATCCTTAGAACCGGCTAAAAAACCCACGATTTTACTTATTTTAAAGAGCCACGTCCGAGGTCTCTCCGCTTTCTCTTGAAAAAAGTGCTATTTATTTTTAGTTCGTAGACCGAGCAAATGAAAGCCATACATGCTCTTGTTCATAACTGAGGGGGAATGCTTCGAGCCAGATGGCAAAAGAATAAACATGGGATGAAAATAACGTTCGACAATTGTTTCAAATAATGTGGTTTTTCCAACCGAGTTGATTGTGTTAATTTGCCACTCGGTACGTTTCGTCAGAGCGAAAGACAAAAGGGCTGGAATCGTCTACGATGGCTAATTTACTCAATTCAGTGGATAAAACCAAATTATTTTGCAATACCCCACCGTCCCAGCGCCACAGTCTCTTTAGAAACTTACCCTCTTTGATCAATTGTTTCAAATAGCATTCTTCTAAAAGATGGTAAAGTTTCTTTTTTCCGAAATAAACCAATAGCGCAAAGTTTCCAGGAAAGGAGTTGATGTATATAACGTTCACTTTACATAAAGTATCTAATGAAAGTGTTCGTAACGCTGACTCAAATACATTGCCCTGTGTTTTATCTGGGAAAACACAATTTTTTTAGCATTTACTGAGGCACGATTACCTTTTTTTTATGAGAAAACAATATGCCCTTCATATCAACGCGTGCGAAATCCATGCAAACATACACCAGCCTCCTAGATAGATATCTGACAAGACTAAAGGCGAATCCCTATCACAACACAAAGAATCCACAGGTTGGTTCATAAAATTATTTTTCGAAGTTTGGTTTTTTTTATCTTAATTGATCCATGATATTTGGAATAGCGACATATTTTAAAGCCATACGAAATAGTGGGAGGATATGGGCTAGGCCTGAAGAATTATTTGCTAGAAGTTGAATCACAGGGGATTAATACAGGGGAATATTGATCTTTAACCGCTTCCCCCCCCCCACCCCTCCACCCTCTTCAACCATTTGCCTCCTAACAATGAAATGGTTTAGATATTCTAGTCTTCTTGGATAGGGATAAATAAATGGAGGTCCCATCTCCTGCAGGGTTAGGGGTAGGAGCCGTTAATTTCCCACGCACGAGATTACTGTGTGATGAATGTCCTCCACTGGGGTGGGATGGGTGGGTTGGGTTTAGGCGGATGAACGTAGTAGGGGACTACGTGTCCTATTCTTCTCTCGCCTGTACACTGTACAAATCTATAAATACAAATACAAATACAATACAAATACAAATGACTGGAATTAAACACTCTGCACTATTGGTAAGAAAAACTTCTGAAGAGTCCTAATTTAGTTGCCTTATTTTTGCCTTTCATTTAAAAAGTTCTACAATGGTTAAAAACTGTGTGCTATTTTCCATTTGTGGTAGGCTTAAAGAAAACTTCAAAATTATATGAACAACTGATGTCATTCATCTACAAGAAATCCATGTAGAGAATGCCATCAGTAAATTATTGCAGGTAACATAAGGTCACACAAATCTTATTTACTGAATTACAATCAATATTAATCCTAATACCACCTGATTAAATGATGAGAATTGGTATTAATTGCCATTTATTTTCAATGAGCTACTCAGGTAAAAGGGAGATCCAACACCCTCATGCTGAGGGCATCAGTCTTTGGGTCAGGGTGAGCTAGGGTGCTGGCCAGGTTTTTGTGCTGTGGCCTTGGGCTAAATATGTTACACTTATGGAATCTTTAGCCTTGCCACCAAGGAGTGCAAATGGAAAGGGCTATTTGCCAGCTGTTTGGGAAACTTGACAAGTGCAGTCTGGGGGAGGGGAGGGGAGGGGAGGGGAGGGATTGGGGATGGACTGGCATTCCTTTGAGGAAGTGGAGTAATACCCCAAGCCTATAGTCATGCTATTCTTTGGAAACTCAGATAAGCTCTGGCTAAACTAAAACCATTAACCATTTGATATTTGTGTCTACTTTATTGTTTGCTGGCAAATGATGACTTTAATTTGTGTGCTTGTTACACAACAATCTGAGGCTTTACCAGTAAACCGATATCAGTTTTTTATGTATAATCTACAATGGTTTCTTTGTATATTAAGCAATTTGCTACTGATTGATTTGAGCTATTTGACCAGGGTTAATGCTGTGTAAACAGGATACCATTTGCATTTCCTGTTGTGTAGTCATAGTTTTTACTTAAGTTTCTTAAGACTTGTAAGCTGACTTCACTTAAAGGCTCATAAAGACCATTTTGCTAAATAGGCTCAATTATCAGCTTCTCCACTTAATTACTGAACATGCCACAATGAAAGTTGTGACCAGTCTTCCCTTGAGAATCTACTAATGGTTAACTTCTTTTTTATTGTGTTGATGCTCTTAAAGGGAATTATTGAGATGATGACCAGTGAAAACCCATTGGTATTTGATCTGCTAAAGGAGAAGGTATTTAATTTTATTCAACTATTTTTAATATGTATTGACATTTCGACCTAAATCTTAGCTGTTTACCCCGTAACATCAGTGTGCACATTCTCCACATTTATCTCTACACATTTCAAGGAGAATTTGTCAGACAATCAAGAGCTTCTGTAGTTTGCAATCATTTCTTTATTTTCATGACCTTCATGGTTGATACAGAGGTTATAGTCTGTACGGAGAAATGAGATGGCAACAATTCACTCTTAGCAATTTAGCCCTTTACACCCTGACATCACAGGGCTGTGGTCTAGCAGCGCCTGGTGGCCCCTGGTGCCTTACTTCCACTGACATTTACTGGGCATTTACTGGGCATCCTGGATTTCACAGTTTCAGAGCATAGTGGGCTCCCTTCAATTTTTTTTTAGAGCACAGCCTTGCATCAGTACGCTTATAAATCCTCCATACTGTTCTGTATACAAATGAATAAAGGCTGATAGTTTCGAAAAGAAACTGTTTGGGGCTGCGTCGGTAGGAGTAACGAAATAATTTGGATATATCAACAAAGTTGAAATAGTAAATTAACCACCGTAATGATTACAAAAGCTGACATTTTGTAATCATTACGGTGGTTAATTTACCATTTCAACTTTTTTGATATATCCAAATTATATTGTTCTGTATACATTTTACAATGTGCTGACAAGGAGAACTTGTTTTAACAATCAAGGGCTTCTTCAGTAGGTGATCATTTCCTTTATTCTCCTGACCTTATTGTTTGATTCAGGGGTGATGTTGTAAGGAGAAATTAGATTCTGGTCGCTCTCAGGGGTTAAAGTGTTGAGGGTTGATTTTGACCTTTAATTTCCTCTATCCATATCTCTGACATTTTTAGAGGAAAAGAGAGGCTAAAAGTTTAAAATATACTCAGTTTCTTGAAAATAGTGAATAATTATATAAAATTCTTTGAATTTTGATTTAAAATGCTCGGCCACAAACTTGATGGAAAACTGTTCAACTTTTATCAACACTTGAATGTTGCGCTAAGTTTTATTTGATGTTATGATTTCTGATTTGTTACTTATTAAAGAATAATGTGTGAGATACTATCCTTGAAATATGTGAAATACTTTTCAGTCCTCCTCATTTAAATATATGTGGTTAATTAGCCTTTTTTTAATGTCAGTTGTAGGCTCCAAACCTGATATATGTTATTGAGTTTTAGATAGCGCAAATGTATTGGGAAAAAACTGAGCAGACTAAGTTTTTTTTTTTTTACAGTTTGAGGAAAAGGAATCATATGATATACTGCAAGAGCACACACAGTATTTTTGCTGTGAAGGATTAGAAAGGCAGGGCACCATTGTTATATTTTAGTTAAATTTGACATTCAATTTGATGTTCTTTTAGAGGAAGACTGTTTTTGTCTTGTCACAAACATGGGACAAAGAGAACTTTTAGTTTCAATTGGCAAAAGTTTTTGTATGTACCAGTACATAAGGATCAGAGGTTGGAATGTTCCTGAAATGTTTCTGAATCTTTTTTTTTTATTTATTTATTTATTTTTTTTTACAGTTTTAGAGAAGCAATTGCAGACTTTTTCAACCATTATATGAAACCTGTGGAGCCTGTTCTTGGAGAAAATGTATGTATTACAAACATGACACTATTTAAATTTTTTTAGTTAACTAGATGATACCTATACATGCACATATGTTAAAAACATTGGTGGCCTAAAATCACATCTAGCAGCCTGGACTGGCTGATGTCCACCTTATTTTTGATAGTTAAACAAAGAGTTATCCATTTTGTTGATTATTATTAAAGCTGGAACTCAAAGTTGTGTTGACAAATTGAAAATGTTCAGCACTTCATTTTTTCAAGGCCTATGAAAAATTTGAGAACTTATAATTAGTACTCAAGGCCAAGTCATCTAATGGACAGTGACAAGACAAAAGGGCTAATGAACAAGGGTTGAAATGCCGAAATGCATGAGATTATGCAGAGGCACAAAAGAATGATACATAATGTAAACATGCTTTGGTTAAGGTTATTTCTTTTATATCATCATCACTAGGACCAGGTAATTTGTTTTTTTTTTCTCTTTCATCAAGTTTACAATTAAAGGTTAGTCTTGTAAACAGCAACCCCCCAAAAAGGGAGTATAGTAAAAAGTTACACTTGTGACAGGACAATGTCACAAGTGTAACTTTGGGTTCAATGCATTATGTTACATAACTGTAACAGCCCCATAGGTCACCAACTGTTTATAAATAAGCAGAGTTTGAGCCCAAGTTAAAAAGAAGATCAAGTGATGTAGATTTGTGTTACATCTTTCTTCAGTTGATTGTTTCTAATGGATGCACACCAATAATGGATTCATTAGGATATGCAATTGCTGATGCAGGAGGTAAGTAGAACTATTTAAAACCACTGTGTGTGACTTCAAGAATTTATGTGAATGAATTTACCACAAGGTATTTACATGTGGATCCTTATGAGCAAGGTTTGAATATTGGAATATTGCACAGAACTGTCCTCTTGACAGAATGCATGATGTCTGGCAAAGTCTCCCATTTGGTTCTACAAAATTTTGTTTGAATGGGCTCATATCTTCTACCTCTTCAGTAAAGCCCAGAGGTGATCAAAAAGGAATATTTCCACAGTCAGATTATCACTACATTTTCAAGCAGAAAGGTGATGGGAAGAAGGAAAAATATCAATATGGAGATATTCTTTGATTTAATACTAAACCCTCAGAGCTCAATTTCTGAGGGAAGTATGCAAACAATGTAGAGAATTTGTATTTCATCTTGGGAGCATAGTGGGTTAATGACCTATAAATTTTTGGATGGCAATTAGGGTTTCATGGGACATGAACCAATTTATTTTAGTTTGACATTTTCTAATGACCAATTGTTAATTGCAGCTACTCATTATAAAATCCAATTTGTCTGCTGTGTATTAATTAACAATTTCAGTGTGTTTTTGTCTCTCTATATCACTGCATAAGAGGGTTTGTTGATCCCTTCTCCATTTCATGGAGCATTTATGGTGGATTTTCAAACAAGGTCAAGGGTGGTACCTTTTCCAGTTCCACTTTCTAGTGAGGTTAGTATACTTGCTTTTACGAACTGGTCTTCTTGCATTTTATCTTTATCTTGTCTCCTCATGGGAAATTCTAACCATCAGGCCAGTGCTCAACTCCAGTTTCCATAGCATGAAGCAACTAGGAGTATTTCTACTCCCCCCTGGATGGGATGCTAGTCCATTGCATGGTTACCCCCCCAGCATTAAATTCACTGGTGCCAATTTTAATAATTAATATACATGAAAAAATTTCTCAGTTCTGATTGGTTAAAATGAATGCAGTTTTCAGTTAATTCAGTGCAGAAGAGAGTTAATTCAGTGCAGAAGAGGGTTAATTCAGTGCAAAGAAAGAAACAAACCAGACATTCTGATTGGTCAGAATGTCAAGGTCAATGTCAAGGTCAATGTCATTTGCAGGGTTTGAATAAATTATTTTTGCATGTGATGCACACACTTTTCTTCTGCTATCTCATATTTTTTCATGTATATTTAATTTATTAGTAGATAATCACAGGATTTTCTTGTGCAATTTAGAGTAAATAAGCACTTGTAAATTTTTTCAAAGACCACAAATTGCACTCGCCCTACGGGCTCTGATGCAATTTTGTTAGTCTTTGAAAAAATTTACTCGTGCTTATTTATTCCAAATTGCACTCAAAGTCATGTGCAAGGGGTCTATTCAAACACCTAGGTGAAAAGAGGCACTGTGAGAGTAAAGTGTCTTGCCCAAGAACACAACACAATATCTCTGGGCAGGGCTCAAATCTGGACCACTCAATCTAGAGTTGAGCACACTAACCATGAGGCCACTGTGCCTTGCCAATTGTTTCATACTGATCTTTATTTTATTTGACATAATTTCAATTTGATTGTGTGCCTATTATAGATTGGTCCTGGAGAGACTCAGCCATTCGAACTTACTGTAGCAAAACTAGAATCTGCTTTGAAGAAGGCAACAGAGCAGGTATTATCATACACTGTACATAATGATCCTAACCTTTTCATGGAATTTTACAGTTTTTGAAACTAGAGTGTTAACACTTTCTGTAATCACAGCATCTAATTTATTTGTACAATATCACACATAAGGTCGCAAGAATAAAGGAAATGATTGCCAACCAAAGAAGCTCTTGATTGTGGAACAAATTCTCTTTGTCAGCACCCCAGGAACTGTATAGAGAACAGTATGAAGAATATGCATACTGATGTTAGGGTTGACAACTCCAGATTTTGTACAGAGCCTGTTTCTGGGTGGTGCCTCGTAGTGAAGGTACACTACGAGCAAAGGGAATAGTGATAGTAATAGTAACATAGTATTTCTGACCACTTGCAGCCTAAGGCTGAATTACTGGTGCAGTTTAAGGCTGAAGACAGACGTCAGCATATCAGGCGCCTCTGGCAGCCGCTTCAGTCCATCGATCTCACCTTCCCAATCATACCACCCCAGGGGAGGACATCCATCACACAGTAATCTCGTGTGTGGGAAATTAACGTCTCCTACCCCAACCCTGCAGGAGACGGGACCTCCATTTATTCGTCCCTATCCGAGAAGACTAGAATATCTAACCATTTCTTGATGTTATAGAAAGGTAGCAAATTCTTCTGAATTATTTTAAGACCTCGAGTGTTGGTCCGGCCGGGGCTCGAACCCTCGACCTCCTGCACAACAGTCCAGCGCACTATCCATTGGGCTAACTGGGGGGCGGTGCTGAAGGAAACTTTGGGCGTGTTGCACTGAAATTAGTTTTATCACCAACTCTGCAATACTATTCTTTCAAGGATACCTTTATGGCAAATTTGAGCAAATGTTTACTTTCTTTTTTTTTAGGGCGTTAAAATCCGCGGTTTACTTCTGTGCAACCCAAGTAACCCGCTAGGCACTACATATTCTGAAGAACTCTTACAAGACTGTTTAAAGTTTGCTGCAAGGTGTGAGTTAATATAGAAACATTACAGTACTGTATTTCCTGGATGAAGTGGGTTCACTGATCAATTGTTCATGCTTACAGAACATTTGTCATAATGTAATGTATAACATTGCATAAAGTGCATTCATTCCTCACAGAATTCTCTGAAATGTTGAAAGTGAGAAGAAACAACATAGCTAACGAAAGACAAATTCAAATTACAGATAAAGATCCCTACGTAAAATGGATGAGTATTCCACAGTTTAATTGCTGAAGATTGCTAGCTAAGCCATGGTTGATTATTCACAATTTGATTAAATTATTAAACCTGTCGAATAGAGAAAAGAAACTAAAACAACCGTCACAGTACTTGAAAGGATAGAACAATTTTAATAACTTTGGTTTTATTTTACCGCATTCTGTGATTGGTCGAGAGAACTCGCGCAATTCTCTCAACCAATCAGACACAAAACTAAAACGAATTATTACTTGGACATCCGAGTTTCCCGCGCTTTTGGCAGTTTGCTTGTTCTTACTTTGAGTCTTCATTGGCTAATTGCAATGTTTAACTTTGCTCTGATTGGTGCTCGAACTGAAAACTGTTCAGTCGAACATGAGTAATTGTAGTCTTTTTATGGTTTTTGTTCTGTTGCAGGCATTGTTTACATGTCATTGTGGATGAAGTATATATGCTGTGCGGATTCAAAGAAGGCTGTTCTGTGACAAATGTGCTGAGTTTGAAGAAGTAGGCCATTTTTTACGTCTGACTTGATAATGTAACTTAGCCACCGCAAAGAGTTTCAAAGCTGACGTTTTGAGCGTTAGCCCTTCCTCAGAGCAAATGGCGAAGGGCTAACGCTGGAAACGTTAGCTTTGAGACTCTTTACGTTGGCCAAATTACATTATCAACTTAGTTGATAAAATCAAAATTACCTTGTTACACCCACCGAAGCAGCGCCAGAGTTTCTTCAGGAACTTTCCCCCTTTATTCGTTTTGTACGTCCCTTCGTTTAAGTTGTCTTTTCGCGCTAAAGGGTTTGGAAACATTTTAATCTAATCCATTTTTCTAAAACTTTATTCTAATCCCATACTTCTTTTTTGTTTCTTACGTAGTGTCCCGAACAAGGAGATGATTCATGTTATGTGGGGTTTTAGTAAGGTATCGTGAAAATTACCATGTTAAGTTAAGATTAATTTTATTTTTGTATGTGCTTTATAAGAAGAATTCCATAAAATAACGTTCTCTATTATCCTGGTCGTAGCTCAAAGGGTGGAAAATATTAGATATAATAATTATGCACCTTGTTTGGGAAAAAGCTCACCAAGCGCGGGAAAAAGTTCACCCAATGCTAAGCGCTGGAAAAAGCTCACCCAACGTCAAGCGCGGGAAAAATTTCAGCCAACGCATAGCGAAGGAAGATATTTACCCAATGCGAAGTACGAACGAAAGTGTACCCCACGTTGAGCGCGGGAAAAATGTGTGAACGCCAAATACGATGTATTGTTAGAAATACACTTTCATCAATGCTTATACTTGGCGTTTCAACCGATCAATTCCTGAAATTGTTAACTGACGATGGTATAATTCTCTTTACTTTACGGACGCCTTTTCTCTAACAATGTTACTTGTGGACATTTTAGGATTTTGGTTTATCTGGATTTCGCTGTGGTGTTCTTCATACTTTGAACAAAGATGTTTACCAAGCGATTTCTTCAGGATATTCGAGATTCCAGGACCTACCAACGCCCACGCAGGTATTTTTATTAGGTTTGTTACTGAAGGGATTGCCGCCTTGCATCCAGGTCCAGTTCTTATAAAGTGATTGGTTAGTTTAGCCGTGATGTTATTGGCTGGACTTGTTACACTCGACTGACAACTACTCTTCTCTGGAATCTGATCATGGCCTCCGCTCAGGTTGTCAAGACATAGGTCACCATTACCGAGAACAGTTCTCCTCACGACTACACTCAAACGAACGATCAGACTTCAAGATCAATTGTTATCGCCGGGTTCAAAGCATTTACTAAATTTTTAATCATCATCTTAACATTCTGTCAAAACCTCTCTTTTTTTAGATTCTCTTGACAAATCTCATCAAAGATAAAGGTTTGTTCAATGTGATCTTGCCCACCCTTATTCGTAATGTTTATTCCGTTTGCATATCGCCCATCAATTTAATTTACTTAAAATAGCTGCATTTGCAATACCTTTCCTATCTACTGGATAAATCTCCATCCCGTGGATTGAGCCCTAGGTTGTGTTTATACACTTCTCCGCTGGGTAGCGATTTATCTGTTTGACAGCGTCATTCGCCCTTTGATTGACTGGACCTCTTGACTAGTCTCCTTAGCAGGCGTCGTTTAGTCCCGTCATGCAACACGCTCTCTCCCCCCATTAACCTTACGGCCCCTAAGAATGACTAGCATGTAATTTCCCCTCGAAATAATACCACTGAATCACATTATCAAAACCTAAGGACGTTATAGACTGTGAAACGATTTCTCCTTTTCAGCACCTTAGTAAATTTATAGAGGACTGTATAGGCGGATTCATACGAATGATGATGCACGATCCTCGCAGTAGAGAGCGCTATTTATGCAATAGCGAAAATCAGACCTGAAAAAAATCAGGCCTGTACGGGATTCGAACCACTGACCTCTGCGATACTAGTGCAGTGCTCTACCAATTGAGCTAACAAGCCAACTGGGAGTAGGCCGTTAAGGCGGATTCATGTTGACGTCATTGAAATGACGTCTCCTACCCCAACCCTGCAGGAGACGGGACCTCCATTTATTCGTCCCTATCCGAGAAGACTAGAATATCTAACCATTTCTTGATGTTATAGGAAGGTAGCAAATTCTTCTCAATTATTTTAAGACCTTGAGTGTTGGTCCGGCCGGGGCTCGAACCCTCGACCTCCCGCACAACAGTCCAGCGCTCTATCCATTGAGCTAACCGGGAGGCGGTTTACCATTTCAACTTTGTTGATATAACCAAATTATTCAATATAAGAGTTTCTATTCTGTTAACCAAAATTCAGCAAAACAGGCAAATGTATATTTGAAATGGCTAAAGGATATTCCTGTTTTCTCCAGAGAAATCTCGGTATTAGACCACTTAAATGGAGCAATAAAAAGCTAATATTTGTTTTTTAGCTTCGAAATAAAATTTCATATGTTGTGTTTCTATTTATACTTGAAAGGTTCTTCCCACAAACACTTTTGAAGGAGAAATGGAACTATTTAATCGCTTGTTAGATAATGGAGTGGCCCTTTATCCAGGGGCGTGGTTCGTCTGTGCCGAGCCTGGCTGGTTTAGACTGGTATTCGCCATGGAGTCAGAAATTCTTCAATTAGGTAAACTTTGATCTCTCTTCTTTCTTAATAATTATATTCTTCCTAAATTGTCCCATTAAACATAAATGTAGATCTTTGTGCGAAGACGTATGGACGTGGCCTTACCTTCCTCTGTGATGTAAGTGGTAATGGGGTGGAAGGGGGGGGGGATGGAGGGTGTATGTCCCCGTACAGTAAAATTTTATTTACACCTGGCTATACCAGCAGTTATGTATGTTTTTCAGGGCTCAGTAGAATTCAGCAAACCGTGAGGCAAGCCCGCCCCGATATTGCGTCGAGGTCGGAGGAGAAGCTCTTGAAACATAAAGTTCACAATATTTAGGATCTCAACAGCAGATGAAGAATTGTGGCTGGCTAAATGAAGATAATGTCCAGATACGAATGGGATTGCCAAAGTATTGTAGCAACGCCCTTATAATTGGTTGAAAATGACTTTACAAATGATATTTTTTTTGTAGTTTTTAGTTCCTTACAATACTCGCTCAATTATAATAATGCTTATTGAGGAAAGCAGAAAGCAAAGGCTTTCATGGGGAACAACTCAGACATCAACAATACAACCTATGTTTACGATCAGTTGAACTTAAAAATTAACTTATAATCTTGAAGCTACTTACGTAATGAAATTATGTTTCTTATGCGTTTGATATGAAAGAGAAAATGAAAGAGGTGAGACGAGGTGTTTCAACAACTGTCTGTCAATAACACAACATCTGTTACTGCGATCGTTTGGGTGGCAATAGTCCTGAAAACTGACCTCCGCTTAGGTTGTTGAAATGTGAGGAAATATTACCGGCGCCAGTCCCTTTCAAGACTTCTCTCAACCGGAAAACGAAACCTCGCAATCAACTCAACTCACTCTTTGACGACGCTAAGCACAGCATCGGGATTTGATATCCAGTATAGTTCTGCGATCAGGATAAAAAAAAGACCTTTTTGATGATATCATTTTTGCTTAAATTCAAACAGCTTTGAGTTAAATCCTCTTTATCCTCACTCTTTTTTACATCACTTTCAAGACTTCGGGTTCATTTTTGCTCAAATGCGAACAGCTCTGAGTCAAAAACTTATTATCATCGCTCACTTTCAAGACTTTGGTTTCACCTTGTCATTTACACCGTCTGTGTCATCTCGTAACGTGGTGTTGTTTGTTCCTCTCGCCGTGTGCTCATGGCTATGGCATGCATTTGCAGGTTTGGAAATCGCTGAGTATAATTCATCTGCAAATGAAATGTAACAAGTGTTGCTTATTAGTTGTTGACATGAGGCAAGTTCTATTATGCAACTTCGTGCCCAAGAACCCTTTTCGCCCTGACATTGATAGTGATCAGTATTCCGCTCCAAGCTGTTTTTCAATCAGGAGGTTCTTAAATTGGTTACCATTCCCTTATTCTGCTCGCTACCTTTACATTTGATTCTAGGGTGATGCTGTAAGGAGGAACCAGAAGCCACTCACTCTTTGGGATTAAAGAGTTAAGACCATTCTTTGTAGAGAAGTCCCTCTTCCAAACTAGCGACTGAAATGAAACTCTTGACCGCCAAACAGTACTTTACATTCAGATCACATTGGGGAGACACATTTCGCTTTCTCATATAATATTTAAATTAGATTGGAACCAAATTACAGTTGCAGTCACCCTTTACTGAGTCTAAACGGCTTGGTTGTGTTTCTCTCACGAAATCCATGTTGGTAGTATTTTTTAGAGAGTTTTTGTACAGAAGCGCTGGACTGATGTGCGGGAGGTCGAGGGTTCGAGCCCCGGCCGGACCAACACTCAAGGTCTTAAAATAATTGAGAAGAATATGCTGCCTTTCTATAACATCAAGAAATGGTTTAGATATTCTAGTCTTCTCGGATAGGGACGAATAAATGGAGGTCCCGTCTCCTGCAGGGTTAGGGGTAGGAGACGTTAATTTCCCACGCACGAGATTACTGTGTGATGGATGTCCTCCCCTGGGGTGGGATGGGTGGGTTGTTGTCTTGCGTTTCATACATGAGCCTCTGGCTCGGGCAATATGGGTAACCATGCCCCACGTAAAGACATTAAACTTTGATTACTATTACTATTACTAAGTGGTCAGTTAGGACGAAATGACGTTCTTATCGTTTTTTATAAAACCCTTATTCTTTCCGGAACCTGTATCAAGTCAACCTGCACTAAGTAATCACCCCGCTTTTCCCCGTGGGTGACTGCTAAAAACGAGTTCGACTGTATCGCCTTACTTGGTTTCTTGCAGCGGTAGGTCCGTTAAACTTCTTGTAGAAAACAAAAAGTAGTATTGAGTTGATGGTTACAAAAACTATGCCGACAGGAATCGAAATCCACACGGCTTCAGAAATGCTAAGAGACGAAGATGATTTGTCATCTGAAACTGAGTAAAAGGAAAAGAGTTTTAGTTAAAGCGTATGAAAACGAATTACTAAGTTTTAGTCTCGTAGCCAGACCTCCAACGGCCAAGCGGTATCTACATTTTAGTTACAGTTACACTGTAAGATCTGGGACGAGATTACCTGAGTTTGGGAAAACGTAGGCTTATGCATTGGTTCAATCAATCGTCTTCGTATCAAGGCAAAGAAATACCAAGGTTACAAATAGGAATGGTAACAAATTTGGCTTTTTCAAACGCCTTCAAAACCTTTTGCTCCCCAGGATCTTGTTATTGCACAATTCATTACATTGCCTTCTGTATATTTCATACAATATTTCGAACGTATAAATAAATGGATACTCCTTTGTTCAGTTTAAAGGTTCTATTATTCCCATAACCCTCTTAAACTACTTATATACTTGTTTGTATATTTACCCCTATGAAAATCGCACATCTGTCTCGACTACTGATCGAAAAGGATCTTAGTCTGAATGATTGCCAGCTTTACAGCTCTTGATATGATAACATGGAATGGTATATCTGTGTCATTAACATTTGTCGATTAATTACGTTGATAGAATGTAAAGGCATACCAGGAAGATTTTGTCGAGCAGTTGCTATTATGGTTACTTCCCCCTCCTTGGACAGAGTCTTGCCCATTGAATTCATTGCCAGGCAACGATATTTCAAGGGTTGTTCTGTTTCCTTCTTAAAAACAACAGTGAGTGAGGATTTACTTCCCTTCTGAGTAGTGGTAGCATCCAGCGTCGAAGACGAGTTGTTCTGCAACCAGCTGATCACAGGACTAGGAAAGCCTTTTGCTTTACACGAGAGGGTCACCACGGCAAAGCCATCTCTGTTAAGGTGGGCAATGTGTCTTTGAGGATGAGTAAAGAAAACTGGTTTCCATAGGACTGCAATTTCCGTGGAAGGAAGAAGTAAGAAAATGTGTTTCAAATCCTTGGGGAGGGGGAATTTCGTACTTAATCAGTTAAGAACGCTTTTACAATGTAATGCGATCTCTCGAGGGAGGGTAGTCATGGAAAACACAGGCGGTCGGGTACGGTAAATAGCATCTGGACAATCTGAGTGGATGTTAAAAACAGGGTCAACAAGGACAGCGCTGCTACCAGCACTCGCTCGGTCAAAAATAAGAATTAGCTCAGTTTGTCATCAAACTGTCGCCTTTCAAAACTACGCGATTATTGAGCGCTTACCGTTCAAAGTCGTTAAGGAGGTTCTGTCCCATCCCTCTGTGCTGTTTGCCTCGCACCAGTACTCCCCTTGATCACTAACACCAGCACCCTGCAATCGTAACTGCGAGTAACCTTTGAATTCTGTCACTGATGACCTTAGGACAGGATGACCATTCTTATACCACGTAATGACTGGGAGGGGAATGCCAGTCGCAGTACAGGTCAGAGTTGTATTACCTCCGTTTGGTACGCTGAGTTGGTGAGGATTCTTAATAAGAAAACGTGGTGGTGATGGCTCTGCAACAGAAAGTAATTTTTCTTTACTTTGGATATTGAAATAGAAATGCATGATTTGAGGCAGCATAGACAAAGGTAAAGTCTGTTTACGAGCTTAGTGGCCCATTAGGCCGGTACTTAACTCCGGTTTCTGTAGCATGAAGCGACTAGGAGTATTTCTACTCCCCCCTGGACGGGATGCCAGTCCATCGCAGGGTTACCCCCAGCAACTAAATTTGCCGGTACCCACTTATACACCTGGGTGAAGAGAGGCACTGTGAGAGTAAAGTGTCTTGCCTAAGAACACAACACAATGTCCCGGCCGGGGCTCGAACCCGGACCACTCGATCCGGAGTCGAGCGCACCAACCATGAGGCCACCGCGCCTCCACACTTGAAGCAGCAAACATATGGTATAAGACAAAAATTATGCAGTTGGGGTGGAGGATGTTGGTCGTCACGATCTGATCCCGCTATATAGCTTTGTAATGATTCTTAGGATCCCCCCGCCCCATTGGGAGTTAATTAGCAGTCACTTTTCTATAGTTCCCCCTTAATACTCTGTTGGCGACGAATGACACGTCCCCCCCCCCGCCTTTCCTCCTTAAAACCACGTGATCCCCAGAATATTCCGGCGTCCCACAGGAATGGTCCCTACAGGGTCATCTTTATTGTGTTACTGGGATTGTTGTCCACAGAACAAGTGCTGATATTGGGGAGTCTTCAGGGGCTTTTGACCTTTCTTTTCAAAGAATGCAACTTTAGCTCTCTTCTAAAGATTTTTCCAACTTTTTTGTTTGCTTTACTGGATGTTTATGATGACTAGTCTCGTACCCAGACCTTTCACGGCCAAGAAGTTTCCGACGGTAACTAGGCTTTTACTGATTGTGCTCGTAAAAAAAGCATTAAATGCTCAAAGCGGTGCTTGTTTTTTGCCATAAAAGTGCTAATATAATGCTATTTTTTTAAAAAAGTACTCGTAGGTTACAGCAAAATGCTCACTTTTTCCCGATTTTTTTAAACATAGAAGATTACATTTTTCAGGTTTTCAGTTAAATTTTTCAAGAACAAAATGTAACTGAAAATTGCTGAATCAGATCGATCCTGTATGCTTATGGTTTTTGCATCACAGTTCCCTCTAGTCTTATTTTTTCCACTGATTGATGGGAGAGTACGCTCTAGGCACTTATCGATTATGCTAGCATAATTTTTGGCATAATTCGGGCAAACTGGCATAATTTCTGCCAAGTAGCAATGCTAGCATAATTTGCGCATTTTGGTAATTATCAGATCATTTTTGATGCCATTATTTGATAATTTTTTGTCTCTAGTCCCAAGCACTTGGTGACCTTAATCCATATTTAAAGTTTTAGTTAAACTAGTAGCATTTGTAGTTCACTGTGAAGCACTGAGCCCGGGTCTAACCTGAACCACATGTTTATTTGAAATTCATTGTGGATTTGTTGCGTTTCTTTCCTGTAGACGAACGGCTTCTAGTTAAAAAATATATATTTTGGACTTATTTGCATTTTTTCAAAGAGCATAATTTAAAAAAACGGTGGCATAATTTGGAAAAAAGAGCATAATGTTAGCATAATTTGGCCAAAAAAAAAGCAATGCTACTAGCATAATATGCCACTTTTACTAGCATAATCTATAAATGCCTAGTACGCTCTCGAGCTATCTCTGACGCCATCTTGGAACGAAGGCAACCGCTGACCTATCAAACTTATTCCCCAGGCATCCTCGGCTCCTTTGACTAAAATGAGGCCAAAATGCGGCTTTGGACAACATGATAAAGTCAGATTGTGCTTTTTAACAGAAAATTATACAAATAATCAGTCGAAAATCCAATATAATGCTAGCACTGCTTTTTGGGATAAAATGTTAACAAAAATGCTCGTGAAGCCAAATAATGCCAGAAAAAGTGCTTGCACTATCGGTAAGAGCCTAGCGGTATTGTTTCAGTTGCAGTTACACGGTGGGATCTGGGTAAGAGAATAACTGCTGACCGTAAACATCGTAGTCATCGTCATCATCATCATTATCGTTAATATTATAATAATTACAGATATCTTATTAACCAAGCGGGAGGGCCGCACTGGGAGAATATCGGCCCGAGGTCTTGACAGTACGGACCGAGCGCAGCTCGGTCCGTACAAAAAAGAACGAGGGCCGATATTCTTCCAGTACGGTCCCGAGCAAGCCTGGTTAATGAGAGATTTATTATACGACTGAAGTTCAAAGGGATACAAGTGCGGTATCATTCGGGACCATTCGGGACAGTGCCCGGTCCAATACTGAGAGAATATTGACCGGCAATAGAGCATTTTGATTGGTTCATTTTAGTTATTGGCCCTCTGACTGCCCGAGTCGTGTAATAATTTTAATTATTGTCCAAAGGTCTCCGACTTGAATGAGAGACATCATGGTATTTACGATGAAGCAGCATTTGGCATACCTTTGAAAACTAATCTTAGTGTATCCAATGTGCAGCCATAATGACTGTAGGTCCTGCATACGTAGTCTCCAGAATCACCTTCAGTAGTATTGTGGATGAGGTAAGAGCATGTTTTTGACCTTTCGTAATGACTCTGGAGGTGGCCACCACACGATTTTTTTAATGTTCCATTAAAAGAAAGAATAATCCGATATGGCTGTAAATGTTTGGGGCAAGCATTCGTCGAACAATTGCTTCTGCAAATAATTGTGGCTCTGTTGCCCGTAGGAAGCACTTCTTCATCCTTGAATTCCAAAACGTTGATTTCCGAGGTAGGAGAAGAGTCAGCTGCGGATACGACAATCAAACATGGCAACCCAAGATGTAGGTATAAGAAGCAAGTTACCGTTAAGTCTGTTTTAAAGCTAATGAGATTTTTATTTTTGATAATAAACTAAGGTTAATCAGTTCATACTGTCCTATGAGCGTGAAGAGAAAGCAGAAAGCACAAGTGAAATTTGGACGAGAGGAAGCTGGGTGGAGAAACAGCCTGTCTCGACCCACCACCCCCACCCCATCTGTCTCCGTCTCTATCTCTGTCTCTGCCTCTGCCTCTGCCTCTGCCTCTGCCTCTGCCTCTGCCTCTGCCTCCGTCTCCGTCTCCGTCTCTGTCAGTCTGTCTCCGTCTCTGTCAGTCTGTCTCCGTCTCCGTCTCCGTCTCCGCCTCGGCCTCCACCTCCGTCTCCGTCTCCGTCTCCGTCTCCGTCTCCATCTCCGTCTCCGTCTCTGTCAGTCTGTCTCTGTCTCAGCTGTCCCTATCTCTGTCTCCGTCTCCGTCTCCGTCTCTGTCTCTGTCTCTGTCAGTCTGCCTCTGTCTCTGTCTCCGTCTCCGTCTCTTTCTCTGTCTCCGTCTCCGTCTCTTTCTCTGTCTCCGTCTCCTTCTCTTTCTCTGTCTCCGTCTCCGTCTCTTTCTCTGTCTCCGTCTCCGTCTCCGTCTCTGTCTCTGTCTCTGTCTCCGTCAGTCTGTCTCTGTCTCCGTCTCCGTCTCCGTCTCTTTCTCTGTCTCCGTCTCCGTCTCTGTCTCTGTCAGTCTGTCTCTGTCACTGTCTCCGTCTCCGTCTCTTTCTCTGTCTCTGTCTCCGTCTCAGCCCCTGTCTCCGTCTCTGTCTCTGTCAGTCTGTCTCTGTCTCCGCCTCTGTCTCTGCCTCTGTCTCTGTCTCTGTCTCCGTCTCCGTCTCTTTCTCTGTCTCCGTCTCCGTCTCCGCCCCCGTCTCCGTCTCCGTCTCTGTCTCTGTCAGTCTGTTTCTGTCTCTGCCTCTGTCTCTGCCTCTGTCTCTGCCTCTGTCTCTGCCTCTGTCTCTGTCTCTGTCTCTTTCTCTGTCTCCGTCTCCGTCTCCGCCCCTGTCTCCGTCTCCGTCTCTGTCTCTGTCAGTCTGTCTCTGTCTCTGCCTCTGTCTCTGTCTCCGTCTCCGTCTCCGTCTCCGTCTCCGTCTCCGTCTCTTTCTCTGTCTCCATCTCCGTCTCCGTCTCCGCCCCCGTCTCCGTCTCCCTCTCTGTCTCTGTCAGTCTGTCTCCGTCTCCGTCTCTGTCTCTGCCTCTGTCTCTGTCTCTGTTTCCGTCTCCGTCTCTGTTTCCGTCTCCGTCTCCATCTCCGTCTCTGTCTCTGTCTCCGTCTCTGTCTCTGTCAGTCTGTTCCTGTCTCCGTCTCCGTATCCGTCTCTGTCTTTGTCTCCGTCTCCGTCTCCGTCTCCGTCTCTTTCTCTGTCTCCATCTCCGTCTCCGTCTCCGCCCCCGTCTCCGTCTCCCTCTCTGTCTCTGTCAGTCTGTCTCCGTCTCCGTCTCTGTCTCTGCCTCTGTCTCTGTCTCTGTTTCCGTCTCCGTCTCTGTTTCCGTCTCCGTCTCCATCTCCGTCTCTGTCTCTGTCTCCGTCTCTGTCTCTGTCAGTCTGTTCCTGTCTCCGTCTCCGTATCCGTCTCTGTCTTTGTCTCCGTCTCCGTCTCCGTCTCCGTCTCTGTCTCTGTCTCCGTCTCTGTCTCCGTCTCTGTTCCTGTCTCCGTCTCCGTCTCCGTCTCTGTCTTTGTCTCCGTCTCCGTCTCCGTCTCTGTCTCCGTCTCTGTCTCCGTCTCTGTCTTTGTCTCTGTCTCCGTCTCTGTCTTTGTCTCTGTCTCCATCTCTGTCTTTGTCTCTGTCTCCGTCTCTGTCTTTGTCTCTGTCTGCGTCTCAGTCTTTGTCTCTGTCTCCGTCTCAGTCTTTGTCTCTGTCTCCGTCTCTGTCTCCGTCTCTGTCTCCGTCTCTGTCTCCGTCTCTGCTTTTGTCTCTGTCTCTCCCTAGGCCTCTCTCTTTTTCTCACTTCCCATCTCTTCAAGCAAACCAAACTGTTAAAAATCCACACGAAGATTGAAAATCATGACATTGAGAACCAGGCTCACCTATACCCGCATCACCAGCTTTACGACATATAGCGTAGGTCAATCGTTGATGGAAGAGAAAAAGGAAACAGACAATCAGCAACATTTCTCAAAACAGTTGCTCCCATATGCCTCTGAAATTGAACATGGGAAAAAATGTATGAAAAACTCTACTTACTAGAGGTTGGCCATTCATCATCAAATGTGCAGAGTATAGACAGTCACCGCACGAAGCTGGGTCGAGAAACATCCTTCATTTGACTGCACGAAAATGGACTTAATTCTTAATTATCGCGACATATTTTTAAGTAGCCTATAGAACAGGTATAATTTAGTGAGACACTAACAAACTAAGAAATATCAGAATGCCTTAGTCATGCTCAAAGATAAAAGAGCAATTTCGATTAACCTGAGGTTGCCTTGTGGCATGGAATGACACGGAAAAAATTCCCGATTGTTGTCCGTAACATATAAAGCTGTACGTAGCAGATGCTTCAGAAAAAAATATAATATAGTACGACAGGAATTGGAAAATTGGCAGTTGTTTATCTACAGATGCGTGTATTTCTAAAAGCCTTTCCTTAAAATTTGAGGATTATTGACTGCCGCTAGCAATAACTATCAAAAGGCATTAACTAAAAAAGAAAAATAGAATTTCCGGTTCAAAAAAGCTACAGAGATACCACGCTCGTTTTCAATGGACGATAGATCTCTTAAATCGAGAGTATGTGTGATAAACACAATATTTGCGTTGTCACGTCAAAGGTAGGTGTTCCATGATTTCTGCTGGAAATTCTCAATAAGGAACAGAGGACTATTTCGTGTTTGGTAAAGGCTATGTAAACACAACAGAAAGTTCTCTACTGCTTAAATGTTGTTCAGTACACCGAAGTGAAATTTCTATAAAGTTCTAGGAGACAAATAATTAACTTTCGGACTGAGTGAAATAATTGGAGATACGTGAGCGGCATTAATCATTGCAACTACCCTTGTCGAAAACTGAGGCATAAAGTATTTTAAATGCTGCACCCGAGATGAGTCTTGTCGTTACCTCTAAAATCCTGTTTCACAATGGTTAGCGGTAATGGACGCACCTCCCTACAAACAAACTCGTCTTGATCTAGTTTTAAAGTTTGCGATCCTAGAAAACCTGCATGAAGGGAATCAGCTTCTACGTGAGGAACTATCGAGCGGAAGTCATAACTTTTATAGCGGGTTTGTTTTTCGTACCATCTAAATATATATACAATCTCAGCCTCAGTGCTGATATTTTCTAAAGCAGCGTTTGCGATGATATTAAAAAAACCATATTAACTTACCCCCAACTTTATTAATTGCCAGACGATGTCTTAATAACCTCCTTTGCCTCAAACAAGAGTTCGCGTGGTCAGTCGCTCCGAATACCCTGAAATGAATAATATCCTACCGGATAACTTTAAGTGACGTCACTTATCGTTTTATTTACATCTATTTTTGGGTGGGCTGACCATGAAACTTCCGTTGACAAAGTTTGTTCCTCCGTTTAATTATTAGCAATGCTTTATTTCGACGATTTTCAGCGGTCACTGATGTTTAGACTGACCGAACGCAGTTCGTTTAAAAGTTGATAACGGATAACGGTTTTAATTTCCTGATGGTCGACAAATAGATAGGACGGTCTCAATAGGGATAACCGTTTGCCGTAAAACGATAAAAAAAGTGTAGCCGTTAGGTGTAAGAATTAACAAGTTTTAACTGTTAGTCGTAAAAAAAAAACCGTAAAAATTCTTTCTTTAATTACAAAGAAAGAAAGTTAAGATACAATGAATATATGAAGTTCATATATTTTGAACTGCGGTATTAGATACGTATGATGCACGATCCTCGCAGTAGATAGCGCTATTTATGCAATAGCGAAAATCAGACCTGAAAAAAAATCAGGCCTGTAAAGAAAGTTAAATTTGATGTCATTAGAAAATAGAAGATTTTTAGCTGACGTTACATTTTTATATAACCGAGCCCTCAACGGAATTATTGACATTAATATTCACTCATACGTTGATTTTTATTCGGACGCTGACCATTATCAATTGAGGAAATACGATAATTTATCTTTAAAGAAGAAATACGCAAGAAAAAATCCTCTCAAATATAGTTTTTTTTGACAGGATAGTTGATTCCTGGAATCTTTTGCCTTTTGATACTCGTAGAGCAGCAACTGTAAATAGTTTTAGGCAGATGTTAAGAAGTATTTAGTGGATAATATATCTAATTAATATATTCCGTGGAATTTTTATAATAATTATTTCTAGTTTAAAACATGTAATATATTTTTAGCCTATTTAACTTTGGTGATCTGTTTTCACATGGGGTCCTGGACTCCTTTACGGATTATCCCTATGGCGTTTCTTTTCTTTTCGCTTGTACTTTATAACTTTATTTGTTTTAACTGAGCCATTAAAATAAAGGAACCGTTAGCCGTAAAATGGCCAGAATTTTAACCATTAGCCTTATCATTTGGCAGGCCACTGAGCGTTTTATTGTTACTGGAATTTTATGTTTACATCCTGAGTTGGCCTGAATAAATGGCATATGGCGATAAAGGACTCCCTCTTGTGTATCACGAGCCCATTATCCTGTTGCGTATATATTCTTTTGAAAATATATTTAGCAAATTGCGCTTAAAGAGCGCAGAACTTTTGAGGACTCCGATAAACATAAAATTGATCAAAAAAAAAAAATTAAGATTAAACAAAAAGAAAGCTTGACAGGTACATTACTTCTCTAGGCAGTTTCTCCACCCCAACCAAGTCCCAAACAGTGGTGGTGTGAATTCGAGGGGTACAAAACGTGGATCATACACGCAGTACATAAAACTTTTTAGAACGTAGTGTCAGCGGAAGGCCAGATCAGCTGAGGATCGTCCGAATCTGTGCATGTGAGGGGGGAAAAAATTGGTATTTTATACGAATACTTTGCTCAGTTTCATTGAAGTAAGATGTCCTTTATATCAAACCGTGCAAAATCCATGCGGGAATATTTCAACCACGAGGCAAAATATGTAGGTAAACAAAAGGCGAATCCTTTCCACAAAACCAAGAATCCACAGGTTGGTTTCTTCAAATGTATCCATGGAAAGTTGACACTTAGTTACGTAGAAATATATTTTTGAATTTGTATGACAGAGAGAGTGGATTTCGCCATGTATTGGATACTAAATCATATGTGGTGTGGAGGGTTGGGTTATTGTGCATTCATTGGGTAGTGGTTAGTTTCTGAAATCTGATTGGTTCTTTTGTTTATAAATATTTTATTTTTACTAGCCGGGATAAATTAAGCGATTCATGATTTAGAGTATAAATTATTGCTCTTTATGTAAGGATCACATTGCTTAGAGCCATTAAGGATCACTAGTAAATTCAAAATGGATGTAATGAATTTTGATATCAATACTGCAGAGGTTTTCAAGATTTCAGTAATGGCCCAGGTATTGAATTTTAATAGATATAAATGTTTTGCTGTAAAATTTGTTCCTTCAGGGAATCATCAACATGGGGACAAGTGAAAATACAATGATATATGATTTACTGAAAGTGAAGGTATATTGGGTTTTAATTTAAAACCTGTCAACTCTGCCCTTATGCTTCAATTCTTTCACTTCCAAAATCTAGAAATCTACTGTCTTCCATATATTTCTTGTCATTCTTGCTCTAAGAATTTTTTATTAAATCAAGTAATTTCCAAAACTGATATCTTTCTATCTTCTCATTACCTTTGTTGAAAATTTATTAATGTTTACAAGGAGAAGTAACTCACTGATCACCTACTTTTTATGAAAGAGTTATGCGAGATACTTGTATCTCACTCCAGCTCACATGTACGTGGGAATTTCATGTTGTTATACCCATAGGTGACACATTTTTTAAAAATTTATTGCATAGAATAACAAAAATCAGCACAGGACAAGAAAGCCCCATTTATATTAAACATAGTCTAGTAATTTGTGGAAGTGTCCATTGCATCTTGCTATCAAGAGTACTGGAGACATGTTTGTCTGAGCTCTTTAATCTTCAGAACTACTCAGAACTTCTTTAAAAATCCTCAGTTACCTTCAGATATGATAAGGTTCTCTTAAAAAATGCTATCTATCTGAAGATAAAAATCTCATGTCTTTGACTACATAAGACTCAGCTGGTCTATATGTTTATACAAGATGAATTCCACAGACTAACTACAAGATAGATTAGTGTAACTGTGGCCCTTCAATTCTGATGGATAAGTTTGGATTGTAAAACAATGACATTTTTTTTTCAGTTTGAGGAAAAAGAGTCTGGTGCTTTGCTTCCTGAGCATACACAATATGTTTGTGGAGAAGGATTAGAGAAGTAGGAACTGATTAAATTCATGTTGTGAAGTGTTGAGTGCTCTTTTTGGTATTTTTATCTTGAGTTTTTTTTTTTTCGGATAATCTGTAAGTTACAGTTTAAGTTTCTCTTCAGGTTTTTGTCATTTTAGTTTACCTAGAATTAACCAGAATTTAGAAAAGAAGCTTTGTAAGGGTGTATGATAAGATTTTTCCTTATATGATGGTTATGTAGCAGCTGGCCTGTTATCAAATAATGTGAAATCTATTATGTTTACAATTGTCATTCCTACATGACTACAATCCATTCTTACATATGATATAATTTGGATATATCAACAAAGTTGAAATGGTAAATTGGCCACCGTAACAATTACAAAAGCCGACTTTGCGAGCATTAGCCCTTCGTCGGAGCGAAAGGATTCGTCATTCGCTCCGACAAAGGGCTGACGCTCGAAATGTCAGCTTTTGTAATCGTTACGGTGGCCAATTTACCATTTCAACTTTGTTGATATATCCAAATTATATCATATGTAAGAATGGATTGTAGTCATGTAGGAATGACAATTG